AAATTCTAGACACAGTAGCAAGGCTCCCTGGCTCCAGTACTGCAAAACAAACCAACAAAAAGTACAGGTCCTTAGCTCACCCAAGCATGTGAAGAAGCAGTACAGTCCCATCGTGCATCATACTCTCTGTGCCTGTTCCCTTCACAGGAGGCAACAAAGCACTATAATCATTCCCTCTATTCTAATCCCTTAGGCTGGGAATAGGTTGGGTTCTGCATCTATGTGCGATATTATAATTTTGTGCTGAAGCACAGCAGACAAAAGTCCAAAATTGCAAAGCAAAATTCCATACCCTTTACCAGTGGGCCACCTACACACAGAGTCAATATTGCCCCCAAATTCGGGTCATTTCTCTCACACAGACATTGGAGGTACTAACCCACCCTGTCAGCTACATTCCTGCAAAAAAAGGAAAGGTCATTTAATGGAAAAAATGATTCAAGAAAATACAAGAAGTATACATTGCATATAGCCTAAATGTTAACACTGAAACCCTTCCATTTTGAGGTGCTTTAAACATATGTACATCATTCAGCACAAAACTCATTAAGAACAGGTAAAAGAAAGGGATAACATTTTTTAAATCTTAAAGCAATAGGAGGAACATTATTTAAAAAATTGCAAACTACTGACGACTAGAATTAGAAAAGCATGCAGCTTCCCAAGAGGTGACTAAATCCACCCTACCAAAGGGGCAAGGGTCAGGGTGAGATGAGTTGGGCTGCACAAGCTCTATTTGGCAGCACTGGGGAGGGAGGCCATGGTGTGCACACAGGTGCCCACTCTCTTCCTTTTCCCACCCTGTCTGCAATGTGGGTATACAGGGCAGGGGCTAAACCAGCTGCAGAAGGCCCCACACCACACTCGAAAGTCCCACAGTGGGACTGCTGTGCTATAGCATGTGCACACACATACAGACACACACACCCCTCTTGCAAACAGTCTGGAAGTTGGCTCCCGTTTCCAAATATGTAAACCAGAAAGTCATAGAGGTAAGTACAAGTGGTAGTCACTGTGGTCAGGTATAAAGTTGGACCTCATGAGGCAGATATAGAGAACCAAAAAATGGAGCTGCTAAAAGTTGCCTTGGAGATTTAAGTTGTTTGTTTTTAATGGAGGAAGAAATAAAGCCCAGGAACAAAGCACAGAGCTTCCTAGGGTAAGACAGTGTTCTGTCCTAGCCTCCAACAAGATCGGATCCCAAGCTTCTGAGCACTCTATCCTCGCTGCCTTGTCTATATGCTATTCCCAAATAGTCTAGATTGCAGGTTATCCCAGGCCACATTCCTGAAAAAGCATGGAAAAATTCTACTGACCCACTTGGGGAAAGCCTTTTGGTGTGTGTGTGTGTATGGTTGGCCAGTACAAGGATGGAACCCTGGACGTTGGTGTAAGGAAAACCTTTTGATAACAAAGTTATCACCCAAATCTTCATGAAGGACTTAAAGAGCCGATGTTAAACTTACTGGGTTTCAAACATTCGCCAGGCACCTTGAAACACAGTTCCCAGATTTAGGTGTTAAATGTAAAGCTGTGAAGGTCAGAGATCATATATAAAAACACTTCCTCTCATGATTTAAGTAAGACATCCTCATCAGATTTTCTAAATCACTTTATAGATACCTTCAGTGGGTCCAAGCACTGGGCTAGGTCCCCTAGGGCACTGGCTCTCAAACCTGACTGCACACTGAAATCCCTTCCAAAGCTTCTATTTTATTTTTTTGGCAGCTGGCCAGTACGGGAATCCAAACCCCTGACCTTGGTGTTATAACACTGCACTTTAACCAACTGAGCTAACTGACCAGCCCCCTTCAGAAGCTTTTAAAAAATAGTGATGCCTGGGTCCCACCCCCGGAGATTTTGATTTAATGAAGGATTCAGCCTGGGCATCAGTATTTTAAATACTGATGGTGAGGTCTAATATAAGGCAATGTTTGAGAACTATTGCTGTAGGAAACAAAAAGAAATATAAAAAGTGTAAACAACTCAAATGTCCATCAACTGATGAGAGTGGATAAATAAAATATGGTTTATCCATACAATGGGATAGTATTCAGCAGGAAAAATGAAGTACTGATACATAGTATAACATAGCAGGACGTTTTCAAGGTTCAGCTAAGTGAAAGCCAGTCACAAAAGGACAAATACTGTATGATTCCATGTATATGAAATATCCAGAATAGGCAAATCCATAGAGACAGAAATTAACAGAGCGGTTACCAACCCCTTAAAGAAATGGGAAGTGACTGCTAAGGGGTATGGGTTTTTTTCTTGTTTTTGTTTTCTATGGGATTTCTTTTGGGGGTGATAAAAATTGATTCTAGTTGCATAACTCTGAATACACTAAACCACCGAACTGGTTTAAATGAGTAAATTATGGTATGTGAGTTGCATCTCACTTAAATATGCATATCTATAATTTTTAAATACACTATTCTCAAAGCCCCAAGTGAGCTTCAACTAGACAGACTTGAGCCCTTATGCCTGCTTCAATTCAAAAGCGCCAAAACAGGGGATTAGTGATTAATTTGAGCCAAGAGGTTTCTGCTAGCTGTTTTCAACTCTAATTCTTCCCATTCTACCACTTTCCTTCAATGTAGTTTAACCCTGTCTTATTCTTACCACATCCTTACTACCAAACTTATTTTTGATCACTATTTAAGATAAACAGACAGTGGAACAGGACAATGCACCAACAAGGCAAAAAGAGCCCAATAGCTAAGAGGTTTAATTAAGAAAAGAGGAAAAACAGTCCCTGAAAAAAATAAGGTAGAATCTCAGACACAGCTGAAATCCCAAAAGTTTTAAAAACTATTATTATATTAAGAAATAGTTCTGCCTACCTAAATTAAACCCTCCTAGGCCTCTGTGTCTTAAAAGAACCACAAGTGGTAATCCCATTGATAGACTGTAGTTAATCTCACTGTATTTAACATGGCCCACCTCCCCCTCACATACAGTTATTGTCTTGGTAAGTAGAAAAGGTGCCAACATTAATCTTTTCATTCTTGCCTCCCCTCCCCCCAGTTTTTTGCAATTTATCCACTTTTTAAAGTGTGAGCTTTTCCTCATGTTTAAAGTTTAATTAGTCTTGGCTCACTTTGGAACTGGTGTTTAGGAACCAATGGAGTCACACTACATAGGTTTGAATCCTATCTTAGCCACTCAATAGTTGGGTCACTTGAGCAGGACTCTTGGCTTCTCTATGCTTCTTTACTAACCTGGAAACAGGAGACAATAGTACTTCCTGTGGGGTTCAGGCAAAATTATGCATGTGAAGCAATCAGCATATTGCATGGCCACAGGGAAGTGCCCAATAACTTATCTATTATCATCTCAGTGCCAAATTCTTCCTGCACACTGAAAAGTTAACCTACATTCAAGGAAAAATTAGAGAGGAAATTTTTTTAATGCAAAACCCCCTTTAATCGTATTCAGTCAGGACAGAGGAAATTCCCAGGAAAAAAAATGTGCCGATAGTCCAAAAGAGTTCCTTTTCTCATGCAGCTTTAAGTATAATACATCCTTAATAAAAACAAATATTAAGAAAAATGATGTATTTGGCTATCAACTCTTCTTGGTAATCCTAAGAAAAGAGGGTTATTTTTTTTTTCTTTTCAGCACTGTTTATAAGGACCCAAGTTAGTAAGAAAGAACGATTTCAAAATGCCCAAGTTATTTTTAATGCAGAAAGACTGTGCGAGTATTGCATTTATCCTCCTACATGTTGCATCCATTATCTTTCAAGAGATTTTTCACATATCTAAAAAGTCAAGTTGTTCTTTGCTTAACATTCATTCAGGAAATGAGAGGCTCATCCTAATTTTGCCATCTTATTTTCTTGACTTTTAAAAAATAATCTTACCCGTCTAGTCCAAGATGAACTTCATCCCACATATACAAAAGTACTTTATCTCTCCAAGACACCTCTGAAAAGAGTAATGGATGGTTGCTTCTACTTAATAGAGATACAGAATCTAAGCCTCTCCTTGCTGCTCTGCTCATCAACACATCCTCTACACTGAGGGTGAAACCTGTTCTAGTACCACTTCACACGTGGACAGTTTCTTTGACCTTTTGTCTCTGTTCAAATTTGACTCTGTTCAAATCTTTCTGGATTACAAATAATGATTTAATATGAATCATAGTTACTAAACATGAAATCAATTCTAAATTTTACTCCATTTTTTAATAGTCTTCAAATATGCAAATTGATACCTGATTACAAAGGCGGAAAAGCTGTTATTTTTATCAAACACAATTGCAAAATTCATTCAAGAGAAAGTAGTACACATGTCTTAAGCACTTTTGTACATGGAATGTTATATTACACAGTAAAGAAAGAAAAAATTTTAAAATAACAGGGGGCTCTAGACTACAACTCCTGAAATTAGGAAAACTAAAGTTCCCTTGCATTATATATCCTTTTGTCAAGCAAGCATTCCTATAGATTACTCCTGAACAACAGCTAAGTCGGAAAGTACGATTTACTTCTTCAGTGGGAACCAGGGTGTATACAATTCCAATCATTACTGGGGGAAAGCTTAAGACAAAGAACTTTAAAAGGAAAAAGCGCAATTAATACACTGTCAACAACTTAAAACCTTATATTAGATCCTTGGAATCAACCTAAAACTTTATATTTAAGAACATAAACATATTTACAGTACCCATCAAGTTACACGTTTCCTTGAACCAATTTTTTTTTAAAAACCCAGTCACAAAAAACTAGAAATATAAATACCTGTTCCTTTAAAACGTCTTAGAAAGTATGAACGAACAGAAAACTGGTTCTCACTTTTATAACAATTTACAGAACTTATTAGCAAAGTATTAAACACAAATGTCCCACCCTCTGCCTTTGCAAGAAATTGAAGCAAATTCTCAAACAGAAAAGGAAAACTATATAAAGCCACCCAAGGGGGAAGTAATAGCTGAAAGCAAGAAATTTAGTCAACTTAAAAGCCATCGAAATTCTAATCTACACTCACAACTCTTACCCTTGACAGCACAGAACAGAATATCCTGCCTTACACATTTTGGAATTGCAATTCTGAAACGCAAAATCCAAAGACAAAGCCGCCCTGGGGAAAATAACAATTGCGCAACAGATCAACAGCTCCAACTTGTCCCTTGGCCCCGGCGCGGCGAGGTTTGCACGCTATAAAGCAGGAAAGGGCCAACCGAGGGCCCCTGTGACAGCCAACCGGCCGCTGTCGCGGAGACCGAGGCCATGCACAAGGGGTGCGCCCCCGGGAGGCACCGCGCCCGGAAAAAGCAGCCCCAGGCGCGGAGGACTCTGACCTCAGCCCTCGCCCGTACTTCCCGACGCGTTGCGAGGAGCCACCCCGGGTCCCCGAGCTCAAACCTCTCCCCGGGCCAGAGGGAGCGCGCTGGGCCCGGCTCAGCTGCCGCACGTCGGGGCCTCCGAGCACGCTAGCCACTTCATAACCTCTCCCACTCCCGGGGGCTGGGCTTTCTAGCTCAAGGCTGCCGAAGAGTGAGCCGATAGACTGACCGATTAATTACTTCGCAAAGAAGCACCCACAGACGGCCCCGCGGGGTGAGCCCAGCGCGCCGCAGCCCGCGCCCGCGGAGGTCGCGGGGCCCGGGGTCGACTGCGGGGGCAGAGGAGGGGTTCGGGATCCCAGCCCGGAGAAGACCTCAGCTCCCCCGAGAGCGGCCACGTGACTAGGCACATTTTTGCCGGCTCCGAGGAGGGGGAA